GGCCGAAGAGGAAGTCCGCCTGGGGCTCTGGGTGCTCCTGGGCGGGGTGTCTATCGAACTAGAGGGTAGGGACGGGCGGACTCAGGAGGGGGTCACCCCTTACCCGGGCCCGCCTCCGCGCCCCATGCCCCTTTCTCAGCCTTTCCTGGAGGAAAGGAGGAAGCCCTAGGCCTCCACTCTCGCTCCCCAGCCACCCCGCCTCTCCCAGCCCGCGTTCCGGGGAGGGAGGTGCGGAGGGGAGACTAGACAGCAAGGGGAACCTCTTGATGGTCTGCGCTCCAGCGCTCCGACTCGGGCGCGATAGAGCGGAGGGTGCAGACGAGCAGGAGATTGAGGGGTCAGAACTCTGCGGCCAGCCTCGCGTATCCGCGGGTTCCTGCCTCACGTTGCTTCCCCCAACTTAGCGAGGCCAGAAGGGGTAGGAGAGCCAGCTGCAGGTGAGATGGCATTTATTCGATTCTCTAATGCTACAAAAATGTCTTTGATGCCCCTGGCCCCCTCCCCACGTGGGGAGATCAAAGGCTCCGTGGGAAGGAGGGACAGCTCCATTCATCACGGCCTTCGGGCTCACAACGGCTGCAGCCCCTGCTCCTCCCCTCCGGCCCCACATGCCCCAGGGGTGCTGAGGGACAGGTGGTGCGGACATTCCACAGCAAGGGCCTGTCTCCAAACCACCATCCTCTATCTAGAGTGGCCATCAACCTTCAGGAAGGTATTGGGGTGGGGAGGGCAGGTCTTGGACTTCAAGCCCGAGGTGCAGACACCTCAGGCTCCCACAGCAAGACGCCTGGTGGTTTGAGTGGGGGAGCCCCTGAACTTGGAGGGTTAAGCCACTTCCAAGAAAAACACCCGTGGTGAACAGAGAAGGCAAGATCCTGAGTTCCTCAGAGAGCAGAGACAAGTGGGTCAAGATGAGAGTGGGGATAAGGGGTGTGACAGAAGACCACAGGTGCCCACCCCACAGGAGGAGGCAGGTCTGGGGAAGTGGGGAAAGGATGGGTGAGAAGTGGGGAAAGGAAATGGAGAAATGTTCACCGAGGCACATAGAGATGCCTCTGAGTTTGCTGGGAGCTCCACCCCAGGGCCCTGGTGTCTGGGCTGTGCTGGTCTAATTCCTGGGTACAGAGAGTCCTGGTGAGGGGTTGGGATACTCCAGAGAAGGGGAGGGGGCCCTGCGGGAGGAGCTGGTGGCTGAGGGAGTTAATGAGGAGGACATGGTCTAGTGCTGCCCTTTCCCATTTTAACCCCCCATAGCATCCAGATGCCATGCATAGCCCTGCACCTATTAATTCTGCACACAGTTGCTGATTCCGCAAGGCAATGCCAACTCTGGGCACTGCACACTCAAAGACATGCCTAGGTTAGGCACACATTCAGGCTAGATGGTGCTGAACAGACTGTTGGGGGCTCTGTGGGGGTCCCTGGAGGCTGCAGGTGGCCAATGATCAGCCCCCCCTCCCATCCACTGCCTGGGTTCTGAACCCCCTGCCCCCACCCTGCTACTGTTATTGCAGATTATGAAATGCTCTCCCTATCCTGCATTCTTCTTGGAGGCAAGAATTTTAATGTATTTGTCTTTGTCATCAGGGGACCAGGGCTCTGGGACCGCCCTGCCTCTGCCTGAGGAGGGAGCGCCCCAAATCTGGTCCCAGCTGCCTCCAGACCCCAGCCTCTCTCCATTACCACCCCCTCATGCCCTAGCCCTGCCCCTCGCCTCCCCCTTCTAAGACACAGTCTCTCTGTGGGGTGGATAAAAATGATGTTATTGAAACAACAGAATTGGGAGCAGTGGCAGGGAGCAGGGATCAGCTCAGGAAACTGGGGTGTTTGCCAAGAAGCCTTCTCCCCCGCAGGCGGCCTTTCTGCCCCCACCCCCCACCTTTCCTACAAACACACACAGATAGCCCCACCCCTCCTGCAGTACTCTGTCTGGTCAGATCTTGCAGAATAGTTGGCCATCCCTGGACTCCCCAATTCCTTGTCCTCTCCTCCCACCCCAGAGTCCCATTCCAGAATCAATTGGCTCAGTGGTGCTTGCACTGGGGCAGTGCAGGTGTGGGCTGTAGTCTGTGATGGACAGGCTCCCAAAGCCTCAATTACCAGGGCCTGGGTTCCAAGGGAAACCTTGCCTCTGCTCATTTCCTTTTACTTTCCCTGCATTCTCATCTAGGAGTTGGCTGGCATCTGGGCAGAGCCAGAGCAATGATTTCTGCCCTTACACCCTCCAAACCTTCATGTAGATGAATTCAGAAGTTACCGAGACTTCAAGCCATCACTATCACCCTGGAAGGCTTTCCATAGAGAAGGACCAGGAGTTAGAGACAGAGGCACACAAAGACAGATCAAGATGCATGCACACTCATCTCTCTCTCTCTCTCTCTCTCTCTCTCTCTCTCTCTCTCTCTCACACACACACACACACACACACACACACACACACACACACACCACCTCTGCACAGACATGCATGTAGAGAAAGGGTCACAAGAGATTGGAATGGGAACACAGCAGCCCAGACGTGGGCAGCATGAATGGAATGGTGCCCCTCTAATCCCCCTCTCTCTGTTCTTTGAGCACTGGGCACCCTCTCCTCTTCCCCCCCCACTGCTCTGCCTTAAGTCCCAAGAACCTGTTAATTCCAAGTCTAGGCCCTGATGCAAAAGAGAGATGGGAAGGAGAGACATGGGTGTCTGGCTGTGGGTTTGGAGAGGAAGGAGGGGTAGAGTTGGGGACTGTGGAGGGGGAGAGAGGCACCTGGAGAAAGATAACATCAGAATCGCTGCAGGCACAAGCAGAGCCCTCTGTCTCTGTCGGATTCTCTCTCTCTTTCAGTGTCTTTTCACGTTTCTCCCGTCTCCATGATTCAGTCTCTATTTGTGTCTGTCTCTAAATCACTTTCTCTGTTTCTTTGTTTCTCAAAAGGACTGAAGCTGCAGGAGCCCAGGAATTTGGGCCTGTGACCCTTCCCCTCCCAATAACCTCTCTCTCTTCCTCCCTCCCCACTGCCCTCCCTCCCTTCTTTCCCAGCAATGGGACCTAACTCTCATTCCTTTAGGATGGTGGCAGGGCTTCAGAATTCCTCAGGGCCCTGGGTCTCTGGGTCCCAGGAGAACAGAGGACAGGCCAACTCTCTAGAGAGATGGAGGGAAGGAAAAAGATAGAAAAAAGAGTCACTTTCCTCTCCCTTCTGTTCCCCAGATCCCTCCACTCCAGCTTTTCCCAGCCCACCTGAAGTCATCAGAGTGCACCTTCCCAGCTGAGAGGGTGGGAATTCAAATGTCCAAGCTTTAGCTAGGCTTGTCCCTGCCCCGAAGGCCAAGTTTCCTCTGAGACTCCCTCTGGGCCTTTGTCCAAGGGAACCCCCACTCCAGGCCCCAGTTCCCCACAGAGCCCACCTGCCTCCCATCTTCCACATCTCTCAACCCTATCCATGTCCCCAACCTTCCTATCACCCCATCAGTCAAAGGGAGAAAGAAGGAGGGGGAGGGAGCAGGGGATCAGAGGGAGGGGCTGCTGGCCCACCAGGCCTGGGCTAGGAAAAGCCAAGGAACATTTGTTTCCACTTAGCTGGGCCCCAGTGGCCCTGAGTGGGAGTGGTAGGACCCAGGAGCTTCTCCAGCCATCCCAGTCCAGGCCCAGCTCCTGCTTTATGGAGAGTGGGGTGGGAAGAAGGACCCTGGGTATTCTGGGGGGAGCCCCTTCCCTCTTCTCCCTGCTCCATTCTTTTCCAAGTGACACCAGTTATCCAGGCTGTGTCAGCTCTCACCTCTGAGGAAACCTGGGCTCCTCAATCAGTTCTTCAGACCCAGACTCTCTCCTAATTGTATTGGTGTCTGCTGGCTATCATCTCTCCCTGGGCAGCAGGCAGCAAACTTTTAATTGAGCACCTACTATGTGCCAAACACCCAGCTAGATAGTGGAGAAACAATGGTGAGCAAAAGCAGACATAACCCCTATCCTCAGGGAGCTGACAGTTATTAATCATAGCATCTCACAAACAACTGGAAAGCCACAACCTTGACCTGTGAAGGAGAAAGGAGGGGGCTGTGAGAGGCTCTGGTTGGGGGACTGACCAAGTCGGGAAGGTGAAGAAGGCTTTTCTGAGAAGGGAATGCTCCAATTGAGATACAAAAATAAG